CAGCATCCAAGGTTAAAGGAGGAATGGTATATTTAGCTCACAGTTTGTAGACGTTTCAGTCCATAATTGTCTGGTTCCAAGGCAGGGTGGCACATAGCAGAGCAGCAAAGATTCATGGTGGTAGAAAATATCAAAAGCAACAAGAGAGGAGGGAGGGTCAAGCTTCTTTCCAACCCCTATATTCAATGCAGGCTACCCACCTTAGGGTGGTGCAGCACTCCCATCGCCAATCCTAGCACTAGACCATGAACCAATCAAAAACTCTAGATTCAGTCGCTTCTAAAAAACCATCACCCATGACTACATGAGGCTTTGAGGGGACATGCAAACACAAACCAAAATACATAGAAAGGAATTTATTGTCACAGATTTCCCAGTTCAAAATCAAGAACTTTGAAAGTAAAAGGCACTTAGCACCAGGATTCTTCATAGCAGCAATTAACTTCAATCTCTTTGAAACACAAATGGACTAAATAACATATTGCTTTTTTCCCCTTAAATTACTTTTTAATATATTGTGAGATAGACATTCCAATATGCCTATTCTTTGGTGGGAGGTGATGGACCACTTTCACACCAGGAAGAAATAAATGATACAGGAGAAAGATAATTTGTAAAGTAAGACAGGGATGCTATTATCAGGAGAGGAGTGGACATGGAGGAAGAGCCTCAGTGGGTATCATTTGCTAAAAATCAGACTGGAAGGTGACCGTTGGATGTCAGCATATTGTATGTTGATTGAAGTATCCAAGGACAGACTAACAAAAGGCAGGTAAATGCATTTAATATAGAGTGTGTAACATTTAAAGAGTGAAAAAAAGTCTCAGGAGCATGATTATAAAAAGATACAACAGAAGGTTTCAAAAAGGTAAAAACTAGATTTTTTTTTTTGAGATAGGTTCTCACTATGTAGTTCAGGTTGGTCTTGAGCTCACTTTGTAGTCCAGGCTGGTCTCAAACTTGCAACAATCCTCCTCCTCAGCCTAAAAAGTGCTGGTATTATAGGAGTGTGCCACCATATCCAGCTTTAAAACTAGAATCTTAAAAGTGTTTTATGAAAGAAATATATAGATAATTCTGGAAAGTTATGTTGGGGAAGTTTGTGGAAGAATCAGTTGAGATATGAATTTCCTTATTTCAATAGAGCTTATAAACTCTTGATATTTATTGGCAGCAGTGTGTAGTGGAGGGATTGTGGTGAGAAAAATGGAAAGAATACTATATGATTAGAAGATGTAGATTAGAATGTGCTGGGTGGTCAGCAAAAGTTCAGAACTGATCCTAAGAGTTCAAAGCAAGAGAAAATCTGGAGAAGGAAGAATGACATTTAGACACAAGGAAGACAGTTCAATTCCAGATGAAATGACTGAAAGACAAAAGAAAAAGAGAGACAAGGAGAAAATCTAATGAAAGATCTAGACTCATAGGATGTGAGGTAAGGGGCAAATGTCTTGGTTCCTTTTGCACTACTATAGCAAAACCCCTGAGTCTGGGTAAATTATAAAGAGCAAAACTTGACTTCTTATAAGTCTGATATTAAGGTAACTAGCAGGTTTAGTGTCTGGCAAAAGTCCATTCTGTTTCAATGGCACTTTGAACTCTGTATCCTCCAGAGGAGTGTGAATGTTATGTCTTTCATGACAAAAGAGTGGCAGAGCCGAGAGAACTCATTCTCATTTTTTTTTTAAAATTAGGGCACTAAACTCACATGAAAGTGGGTTCCTTAGGGTCCAATCATTCCTTAAAAGTTCCACCTATCAATATCATTACAATGGCAATTGAATTTCAATGAGTTTTAGAAGGGACAAACATTCAAACCAACATCTCACTCCAGAAAAATGGCTATCCTCAAGAAATCAAAAATAACAAATGTTAGTGAGGCTGTGGGGAGTGTAAACTGATACAGTCTCTATGGAAAGCAGTATGGCAATTCCTCAAACTAAAAATAGAAATTATATTTGACTCTTTCAAAGCTATTCTTCTTTTAGATATCTTCCCCTGAGTTAAAAATACCATGCCATGGTAATGTATGTGTATCTATGCTTAGAGCAGTACAATTTATAATAGCTAAATGGCCTATATGATCATAACAGATGAAAAAAGAAAATACGGTGTATATGCACATTGGAGCATTATTCTCCTGTAAAGAAAGATAAACATGAAATAGTTATAGGAAAATCAATGCATCTTGACATATATAAAGTGAAGTAAATCAGACACAAGTTTAAATTGCATATTGCATGGCTTCCCATATAAAAAAGTATGAAATAAAATACAGATAATTGGAAAAAATAGAAAAAAGTTATGGTATTCCAAGCATTTCTCTGCTGTCAGTTTCTAGATTTATTCCAATATGGCATAAGAATTCACTTTGTAGGATTTCCATTTCTTTGGAGGGTATTAGGATTTTACTATTGCTAAGAACATGTTCCATTTTGAATAAAAATAAAATAAATTCCCCAAATAGGAAAATTGATGAAGATAGAAGGTAGTTCAGTGGATGCCTAGATTTAGTGGGAGAGGAATTGGGAAAAATAACTGGTGGGTAGAATGTCTTGTTTTGGGACAACGAAAAGTGATCCAAACATGATTGTGGTGATAGTTGTACAACTCTGTCAGTATACTAAAATCTGAATGATACATTTTGTATCATTGTAAACTTTATAGCGTGGACATTTTAGTTCAATAAAGTTATCATTAAAAAAAGAAGAAGCAGGGGGATAGGTAGACAAAGCAAAGAGATGGCAATTGAGAAGCATCCTGAAAGCCAAGAGATGAAGGATGGCAAAAAAGTTTGGCTTAGTGTTATCAAATGGTACTGTTGTAGCAAAGGACATTGTGTGAAGTCTTCAGGAGTTTATTGGTGACTTCTGAGTAGAAGATAAATTGCAATGATCAGAGGAGGATGGACAGAGAGGATATAGGGACTTAATGTTTGAGAATGAAGAAAAAAAAAAAAAAAAGACCAGCAAATCAGGCCAGTACTCGAGAATGGACAGACAGAGAGAATTCTTTGGGAATGAAGAAGAACCAGTTTGTCATAGGTTTAAGCTAACGCTGGGAAAAATGGAGAGATTTGGAGATGAGAAAGGATGAGAGTCACTCTGTTGTTTGAGGAACAGCTGTGTTGGGAGTGGAGCCTGGAATGCAGGAGGAAGGAGCTGAGATTCAGAGTGCCTGGGCATGAGCAGCCCTGTACATCTCAATCTTGAGTTTTCCAGCCTTGTTCTTCTCAGTAGAGTGAGAGTAAAGCCATCTGCTGAGAGTAAGGCTGGAGGTTCGGAAGCTTGAGGAAAGTCCGAAAGATTTGAAATAACGGCTGTGAGTTATCTGTTGCAGTAATTGTTTTCTGAATGGTGGAAAATAATACCTTTTCTTAATCTTAGGGATCTCTTGGTTTTGTGCCCAAATTATTGATTTCCCCATCCCTCGGGAAGAGTTTGGGAAACTTAAACAAGTAAACAAGGTGACATTTAAATTTTAAACATCTTCTCTGATATGTGAGGATGGAATAAGAAAGAGGAAACAGTGCACTCCCAGTGATAAATGACTTTGGTGTGGATGAAGGAAATGAAAGATAATGGTCTGGAGAAAAAACTTGCAGGTGGGGCTGAATGAACCCACTGGAGGAGTGGAGGTTGAGAAGGAGGCAGTAGAGGCTGACTGATCTGGGAATATCTAACTGGGGAGACGGTGGGACCACCAGCCAAAATGTGGGAGCCTAGACGAAGAGGGGGCTGGCAGAAGACTGCAGAACCCTGATGGTGGCCACCTGCAGACAAAGACTCCTGCTGGATCCTCAAGGAGAGCTGAAGGCAGCTAATGAGAAAAAGTACAGAGCTCACAGCGGGCTCAGCAGGGCCCACTTCCTCCTCAGAGGCAGGACAGGCTAGGAGAGGGGAACAACCAGACCATTTTAGGAATGAGTCTAAAAGACAAACTCGAGAGCAGAATTCCAACACCACACATCATCAGAGAAAACATGCAGATTCAGCAAGAGGTACTGAGGGGGAAACTCATAAGGTCAAAAAATTCAGGCCTGCAGTAATCAAGACACAGAAGAATTCAGCAGGAGCAGGTGACAAAAGCTGTTGGGTTAGACAGATAAGGCCAGGACAGTGACCACCAGGTCCGCCAGCAAGGACTTTCCCCAGGGCAGGGCTGTCTCCTCATCAACAGGCTCAGGAAACAGTTGGGATGCCGGAGCAGAATGTGAGTATGCATGAGTGTGAAATGCTCTGCTGCAATGGGAAGAGAATCAGCCTGCAAATACTGCCTGAAAACTCAGTGGTCTTTGGGAGACAGCTGTAATAATCAGCAATTCCAAAACTATTCAGGTCCACCAGAATGAAGATCTCTCCTCCATGGAAAACTCAGTTGTATTAAACAAGGAAGTGCTGGGCAAAGGATCAAGAGACAAGATATAACTCCATCTCCAAGAAGATTATAATAATTCTGAGGCCCCAGAAAGCAACAGTGCTATTAAATGAGGTGTGCTGGGTGGTCAGGTTTTTACAAGGGATACAGAACCTGGCTCACCACTTCTGGTGACCGTGGATTTTTATTAGAAGCTATGAAAAACATAGGCACTGGCGCTTACAAGGAGTCTTCAGAGCTCAGAGCAGACAGCAGTGACATTTGAGCTGTTTACATCTTTGTGTCTTTAATGATTGGTGACTCTAGAGGAGCAGAAAGATCCAGGAACATGAAAAAAATTTCAGCTGAACTTGGAGCATGAGGAAAATGATCTTGACCTGCTTATCAAGTAAACAATAAAAACAGAGTTACAAATTAAACCACTGCACCAATAAAGTCCTCCCAGTTAGTGAAATAAGGGCTAAAGGTTTTCACTAATCATTTACATCCCTGGGATTAGACAAGTGGAAAGAGCTGAGAGAAATGTATTTGAAAGGAATGAGGAACCTGCTTGCTATCTCCCTCAGGTTAGCTTTTCAAATTTTGTTCTTTAATATTGTGCTTCTGCAAGGTGGGAATGGTCCTTTCTCTCTGTGATAGCAGTTTAATTTGCTGTTTGGAGGGAAGAGATTGTGGGTGGTAAAAGAATGCCTCCGTCCTGACAAAATTCTGCAAAGGAAGAGAAGATGATATTGTTTTTCCTAACAGAAACCAGAACCTAAAAAATAAAGGTAATGAATTCTCTAAAATTACAGCTGGAGGTAAGAGACAGAGATATAGGGATAAAGATAGATGAAAGAGAGTTATTTGAAGCAGCTGAAAGCAAACAGGCAATTTTAAGCTGAACTTTTAAGGGTTTTATAGGAAGTAGGCAATCTGCAGTATAAGATTCATGTATGTATTGGGCTTGTTTGTGTGGAACATATTAATTTTTGAAAAAATTTTCATCAGTCTAATGGTGAGACAATAAGTGTAAATCCTAAATTCTTGTAAGATTTTTATCAGCTCTAAAAGTTCAGATTAATCAAATAGATACAGCACTTTCAATGGATTTATGTGTAGGGAAAAGCAGAACAAATGAAATCACACATGGATGGCTTTGGGAAGTGTCACATGAGTGAAGAGTTTGAGAGTTTGGAGCAGTGGAGTCTTTCTTGCTTTTTAGTTTGTTTTTGTTTTGAGACAGTCTTGCTATGTAGCCCAGGAAGGCCCCAAACTCAGTGTTCTTGTTTCCGTCTCCCGAGTGATGGGATTGTAGATGTGTGCCACAACTACCCATGACAGTGGATCTTTATTTGAGATCTGTGGAAAAACATATATGTACTGGCCCTCAGAAGGAGAAAATTTCAGAGCCAAGAGCAGGTAGAGGCGATGTTTGAGCTGTGACTTTAGTGATTGGTGGCTCCAGAGGAGCACAACACACGTGCATCAAAAGGAGCAGACACAACAGTTTAGGCAAGAAACTTTCATTACATTGCTTGGTTCGGTTTTCTTGCTGGCTTTTCATGAGCTACTTGCTGCTGGAGAAATAGATCTGGCTGATGGTTTCCAAAAGCACAGTTTTATCCCGGCCTATGATCTCAAGCTGTGGATGCAAGGCCATCTTCCCGCAGGGTCTCATAGTTGTCTCAAACTCATTTGTTCAGAGCAAACCTTGCTTTGCTGCTGGTGGCTGGCTCTTCTCCACTCTTTTCCCTTCTCTGCTGAGCACAGCCCCATTCAGGCCTTTGCTCAAGCCATTAATCTTGACATCGCTGATGCCCCCTTTTCTCATCCCCTCACACCAAAGCACGTTTATGAAGTGACCTTTGGCACTTCACCAATCGCACTTAGCCACCATGAACTCTTGGCCCGGATGAAGGAGACACCTTTTTCCCTGTGTCTTGATGTTTGCTTGAGGTGATGCACCACACCTCAGGGAAGTCTCTCTAGTCCCCTCACCACGGAACCTTAAACGATACACCATCCTGCTGATTGCTCCGGTTGCCTCTCCTAACATGCACCTCCTTGCTCCTTCTGCATTGCTTGGGTCAGATCACTTGGAACAGCACGTCACACGCAGTTCCTTTGCTGACCTGCTCTCCTCCAGCTCAGCTGCTTCTTGGCCTCAAGATGGGACCGTTTTTTGCACCCAGAGTTGGTCTCCTAGTTAGACCAAGCAATGGAGTTGCCCTTTCACAGTACTGCTACTTAATCATTGTCACTGCTGCTGTGCCATCCTTACTGATTTCCTTTCATTCTGTTCCTCTCTGGGATGTACCTCTCCCAGGGGCATGTCTCAGCCTACTGTTCTCAGCTGCAGCCCTTTTCCTAAACAGCTCCATCCTGCCTTTGCTCTCTATGGCCAATTCCACTGCTCTGGGGAACTTCAGCAAATCCAGCATGAGTGTGGGTCGCCAGGAAGATTGGCGAGAGCTTCTCTTACTGTAAATTCAGGGAGGGGGCACTGAGCCCCTCAGTCAAGCAGGATAAAGACCTGTGGAGTCAAATAGTTCATTCACGGGCACAACATACCTTCCATGTCACTGAACTCCTAGACATCGGTTCACTAGAAGAGTCTTTTTGGAAAGGGAAAAATGTTCTGCTAAAAACTGTGTCTTTGATTCTTGTGATTTCCCTAAGGTGTGGACAGGGATGATAAGTAGGTATTTTTACAGCAGAAGGTCAATCCCTACATTTTACCTTTTCATGGAATTTGGGTGAATGAGTAACAGAGAACACCATCTCTAAAGAAATGATTCTGTTTCTTCATCTGTGCCTGTACCTGGTGGGTTCAGGGGCCTCTTCCGTCTTAAGTCTTAACATGGTCTCTCCCACATTCTGACATCATGGCAACATTAACTGTTTTCTTCTCAGAATAGTGTGTGTTTGGTCAAGAGTGAATCAAAAGAGCGCTATTTAAAAACCTATGTGCGCGCACACACACATTCTGAAGACATCAGTAAGAATCAAAGATTTCCACATATCGTGGGTTGTGACCAAAGACTTTGTGACCGATATCTATTGCTATGTTTTCAACTTTGTATGTATGCATTTCCTTATTTACTTGGCAGTTCTGGGGATTGACCCCATGGTTTACCCTGAGCTATTTCTCCAGACCTTTTAAATTTTTATTTTGAGACAATATCTTGTCCAGCTGTTAAATTGTTCTGGCTGGCCTCAGACTCAGGATCTTCTTACCTTAGCCTCCCAGAATGCTGGGATTACAGGTGTGTCACGCTATATTTGTCTCAACTTTTTAAAAATTATAGCACTGACTCACAAATACATTATTTTTGTAACACATCTAAACACCAAAGATAAAAGTATTCCAACGTGGCCACTCCTTGCCTCCCCTTTCACTTTGATAGAGATAATGAGTCTTATCAGATTCACAGATCTTTATTTTTCTTTTCAGTGTTTTTTTTTTTTTTGGACTGAGAATCAAGCTTAAGGCCTCGCATTTGCCTGGAAGGTGCTGTGTCTCTGAGCTACATCTGCGGCCCATTTTTTCCTTTACATTGTTTTCTATTCACTTGTAAATGTATGTGTACACATAAAACACATAGTGTAACATATGTCTACATGCTGGCCTTATTTCGTCATCTTATACTCATTGTTCTACAACTTGCTTTTTTCACCAAGGCATCTTTTCAATCTTTTTGACCTTTTAGGTAAAGACGCAGTTAATTCTTTTGATGGTTGCCTGCTATTCCAGAAAACATACATCCTTTAACTACGCTAATACCAGCACTGGTTATTTTGCTCCCAGTCTTTTACTTTGCAAGCACTGCTGTAAAGAAGTGTCGCGCACCCTGCACCGCATAGTCACGTGTAGGGGCCTCTGATGCTCTGTCGTGGACGGAGCAGCAGCATCGAGCTGAGGTGCAGCAGCACCCCACAATCGACAGCGTACTTCCAAGTTTGCCTAAACATGGTGGTAACAATTTTTTTCCCAGTCCTGGGATTGAATCTAGAGCCTTCACATGGAGCAACAACCCCAGTCCTTTTATATTTATTTTGAGGTAGGTTCTCACTAAGTTGTTAAATTGCTCAGGGTGAATTTGAACTTGTAGGCTTCTACCTCTGCCTCCTCGAGTGCTGGAATGGCAGGTGTGCATCACCACACCTAGCTCAGTGATAACAATTACTTATGAAAGTTGATAAAAGAAATAATGAGATGTTTTTCTTTTCATTTTCATGTCCTTGGGCATATTTGTTTCAAATCTGTTCTCATCTACAATTATATATTGTTCTTATTTATCATTTTCCTATAGTTTAGTTTTTTAAAAATTACTTTGGAGTTTTAAAATGTCACTCATTTTCTGATGTGCTGTAATTAATTTCTTTTCACCCCTCAGTAATCTTTTATGGTATCTTATATTATGAATATATTTTTTTTATTTTGAAGGCTCTTTATAGTAGGTCTAGATGTAAATTTAATTTCATTTCTCTGGCTTGAGACTCAGTGTGATTCCTAAATCCGAGAAATCTTGTATTTCAGGTATTCTGGGAAATTCTGACTCACTGTTTTTATAGTATTGTCCTCTCTTCTGGGTGTGGTGTCACATACCTATGCTACCAGCATTCTGGGAATTCAAGTCCTACCTGGGTAACTTGGTGACTTATCAAGATAGTCCCTCAAAATTAAAAAAAAATTATGGAGATATATCTTAGTGCATGTGAAGGCCCTGGACTCAATCCCCAGTAAAAAAAAGAAAAGGAAAAAAAAAAAAAAGAAGCCTCTCCTCAGTTGTCTTTATTTTCTTCTCATGAAAGTTCTATTCAACTTATCTTCTCCACTCCATTTTCCAGTTCTGTAAACTTTGCTATCATCTTTTATTATCTCCCTGGGTGTCTTTTGTTATTATCTACTTAACCCTATATTTCATTTTACTGTGTTTTGCATTAACTATATCTACTTACTTAGTTTCAAATTTCAATAACTAATTTTTTGGTTGTTGCATCTCAAGTAGTTTCTTGAAGGGCTTTTTTTTTTTTTTTAATCTTACACTATACAGTCTAGATTTTATTTCTTTAATTATTTTAAGCTTGCCTCCATGAATGTCTTTGTCAGACTTTTCCTTTTTGGCAAGCTCCTAGCAATCTAATCTATGTGCTGAGTCTGAGGACTTGCTCCAGGAGGTGAGTCACTTTGTGAACATTTACGATCTTGGATCTTGAGCTAATTTAAATGGAACTTTCTCCATAGTAATTCTGTGTAGCCTGTGTTGAGAAAATCAGCCTGGTTCTATTTTTCAGTTTTTCAACTAGATTTGAGTTCCCACATGAGAGAGAGAGAGAGAGAGAGAGAGAGAGAGAGAGAGAGAGAGAGAGAGAGAGAAAGAGAGAGAAGGAGAGAGAGGGGGAGAGAGAGAGAGAGAGAGAGAGAGAGAGAGAGAGAGAGAGAGAGAGAGAGAGAGAGAGAGGAAAGTATAACCTCATTATAAATTTTCAGAATTTTCAGGGGAGGCTTCTTATTTTCAAGTTCAAGCTCAAGAGAACACAGATAGTATCACTGCCTCTCATGGAAATGGGCAGGGCCTCTCTGGCTAAGCTTTAGATCCCTGTGTGACTCCTGGCTGTATGCTAAGATTTCTTTTATGGTCTCCTTCTTGGCATAGTCCAGGCTTCACCTTCACCTCCAGGGCTGTGGGTCTCCTGGTCCTGGATCCTTGGAATGAATGCTTCCTCCATGCCCCATGTGTGTGGTCACTGAAGAGCTCATGCAACTCTTAACTTTTCCTTCATCCTGAGAACATCTCTTCCTATCCCTGTAGCCAGGTATTTGAAAAGATGTTTGCCATGTTTTATTCAGTCTATTTAAGTGTTTATGGGAGATTGTTTCTGTCAGGTAACTTAACACATTGGAATCTCCCAGAAGAAGTTTCAAATGCAGTAGGTGATCAATTTTCATGTCCTATTGATACTAATATCAGCATAAAGACAAGGGAGCAAGAAACTACAAAGACTCCTACAATATATCCAGGAAATCCAGGCCTGAAATTTCTCATTTCAGAGGCAGATGCCTACACTCAGGGTACCTGAGACTTTTCCAAGCCCATGGTTTGTTAGTGATAGAGCTAATATGGTAAATTCAGTGTATTGCACCCAGTCCAGTGCTTTCTTACCTAATGTTATTTCCTCCTAATTCTTGGAAGGACAGGGGGCTATGCCCCTTAAGACAGAGGACAATTCTCTTTGCAGTTGCTTTGAGTGCTTTTATTTTCACAGGTAAAACCAGTCTGGGGAGGAGAGAAGCACCATGGCTACTGGGTCAGATGTCAAGGCTGCAGGGGGAAATGTTCCCATTGATGATGATTCCCACCCAGCTAAGGAGCAATCCTGCAGGAAAGGTAAATCATGCACAGGGATTTGGATGAGGGAAAGGCTGGGATCTGTGAAACCTCCACTTCATTGCTGCTCCTCCACAGCATTCCTCTTGCTCTGGCCAATTACCAACAAGTCTGGATAGCTGTAGAGTGTATTTAACCTTCATCATCACTTGCCATGGTTTATGTCTGTGTCCCCCAGGCCTCATGAGTTTGTATTATGCATTTGTTATTCGTTCATTGTTTAGTGCTTGGATTGATGGTGTCAGTGCTCCACCCACAAAGGGGTGGAGCCAGGATGTGATGTAATGGCAGGAAGAAGGCGTGCCTTTTTCTTTGCTTGTTTGAGTTTGCTGTTTGCAACCGCCATGAAAGGTAGCCCAGCCATGCCCGCCTCCCTGGGAGCCAACTGAGCGTGGACTGAAACCTTCGAAAACTGTAAGAAATAAACCTTTCCTTTCCCAACTTTGGGCTTCAGGTATTTTGTCTCAGCAATGAGTAAAAAGTAACTAAGACATCACTTCATTGCTCACAGGAAACCTCAAAAGACAGCTAAGTAGTACAGCATTATTTGGAGATGAAATGACTCAAAGGTGATTCTAAGTGGGAAACATGGAAACCACATCTGATTCTAATGTTCTACTAGATCTCTCTGCTAATCCAAAACCCAACTCAGAGAGAAAAGACTTTCTTTGCCACCGTATCATAGAAGCTGCCCATCCTGTTCTTCTCATCTATGTTACAACTTAGTGTTTGTCTGTAATATGCCATAAGGACCACCTTGGAACACTGTTTTACCCTTAATTATTTATTACTGGACTATTTATAACTCTCATTTCTTAATTCTCCTAAGGATATAAGCTATTCATGAAATAATCCCTTTAAAAAATAAAATGCTAACTAAAATGGAATCTTTTGTACTACACACACCTTAGCTAGTTTGTCTGTTAGGAAATAAGCCTATCTTCCAGAAAAGTGGGTTCTCCTAACTGACTCCATTGTAGAAGAAATCAAGGGATTTGCATATTAATGTTCATCCTACGATTCACCACTTGATCCAAAACAGGTACAGTACTATGCCAGTGGTATTAGCTTATGATCTCTCTATAAGTATTTTAGAACCTATTAATGTACATTCTTGGTCAAAGTCTACTTATTCTTATTCCTTTCTGTGTTTCTGTCTCCCTCTGTCTGTCTGTCTGTTCTCTATGTCTATGAAGAACTTTTATATGTATAAAGTTATAGCAAGGGACAGGATGACATGCAGGATAGGAGCACAGGGCAGGAGCTGAAATGCTTGAGTTTTCAATCTTGATTATGCCATTTCTGAGCTGTTTGACCTTAGATAAATTCATCCAACCTCCCATATTTCAATTCCTCCATCTGTAAAAGTGATGTGGTAATAACATAGCCAATTTATATGACTACCACAAGGATTAAATTATTTTAACTATAAATATATAGAATGACATCTCACAGAGAGTAGAAATAAAAGCCATTGATTTAAGCATTCAATTTGCTGAATCTACAACTTCAAGAAAGAATGTAGAATGAAATAGACAAATGTAAAAATAATGTGCATTCAAATCTTGAAAGTAGAAAATGAGACAGAAGCATTGAAAAATATATAATATACTAATTTGGAGGAAATATAGATAAATTTCTTTCTAGGAATTATAATTCATAATTTATTTTAACAATATGTGATTTCATGTTCTGTCTCCTATCTTTTCATGGTTATTTGTATCTAATCTCTGCCAGATTAATCTTAATAGTAGATTGCTTATAAAAAGCAATAAATGTTGTGAATTGATCTTTATTAAAGAAGCAGCTCTTGCATACATTTTTCATCTCAATTCTTTCCTGATTTGAGTGTGAATTTATTTTCTTCCTTTAAAGTTTCTATTTCATTCTACCTACTTTCCTTACAGTTATAGACTGAGTGAATTGGATACTTAAATCATCTATTTTCATTTTCTGTATAATCTGCTTCCTTCCCTTCTCCTCATCCATTATCTTCCTACCATCTGCATTTTTCATAACTTTTCAAATTCTTTTTTTTTAATTTTTTAAAAAAATTTATCGGTACCAGGGATCGAACTCACGACTGCCTGCTTGCAAGGCAGGCATTTATGCCACTGAGCTAAATCCCCAGCCCCAACTTTTCAAATTCTGACTCTTTGTCACTCACTCGATTTTCTATAGTGATAAAATTCATGTGGAATTAATTGAAAGTTCCATGTTGGTTCAGAAAAAAAAATGCTTGAATACATGAGTGGGTATCCTATTTGGCTAGGAGAAGGCAATACTCTTGATTGTGACCAATTTAATATACCATATCAGGGGCTGGGGATTTAGCTCAGCGGCATAAGCACCTGCCTTGCAGGCAGGCAGTTGTGACTTCTATCCCTGGTACTGATAAAAAAAAAGAGAGACAAAAAATATGCCATATCAATGTGACACTGGCTAGAATTCCATTGTACAGTTTTGTGGATGGTACTCCCAGAGTTTGGTGCTCTCAGAGTTAAACTAAAGCAGTGGTGGCAAACCTGCAGCACACATACCTCAGTGGATTGTTTATTATCATTGAAAACTCTAAAAGGTTCACCAGTGTTGGACTAAAGTGAGGACCTGTCAGTTTCCAGAATGTAGGAGGAACATCACTACTCTGGAGTGCACAGGGTTGGCCACACAAAGTGCATTAGCTCCTTGGAGGAGACCGGAGGGGAGCACTATTGGGGTGGGAAGGCAGCGATCCCATATTACCTCTGGGACTTCTCTGAGGGGCAGCCTATTAACCCTTCCAGCTGCTGTCAAATAATATTATGTGGTTTAATCAAAAGGCATCTGTAAACTCCCAAGGAAGACTGGTTTATTTTGTGTAAGCCTTGATTGCAGAATTGGGACAAAGTTTAAACATACCTATTCTTACCTTAGCCTACTTTCCAGCTTCATCTCCTTCCAGGCCCCAAACAAATGGTAGCTCCATGTCCTTCAGTTATAAAGGACATTACAGCTATCTTAGGTGACGAAGCAAGACACCTGAGAGTCACTTCCTGAAGTTTCCTCTTGCTCATTCTCCACATTCAATCAATCACTGCTTGCAGCCAGTTCTCTCTCAACTGATTTCTTTCCATTCCCCCCTCACCTGCCCGTTCCAGAACCCTGAAAAGCAATTCCCTAGTCATTGCTTTGCCAACTTCATACATTCTTCCAGTCTCTGCTTGAGCATTACTTCTAAGGGAGGCCACGTCGCCTTTTATTTCTTGGAGTGGGAAGGTGGAGTGCACCCTCCAGACATCTACAGAGTGGTGTTTGCTTACTCTGTGTCTGCATCACAGACAGACATCAGACTTCTTCCTCTTCCAGACTTAGGAAGGACAGGGGGAAGGCATCCTGCCTGTAAGAGTTTTTGTGTCTTCTCCTTCAGGCTTTTGCTCAGTCCGTCATGGGCTGGCCATCATCTTGCAGCTTTGTAACTTTTCAATCTACACCCAACAAATGAATTTGAGCATTGCCATTACGGCTATGGTGAACCACACAAAGGCACCCAGCCAGCCCAACTCCTCCACAGAGCAGCCTTCCCAGGCCTACAGGAATGAAACCTTAGAGGGAACAAAGGCACTGGTAAGTTTGATGGTACTCCAGACACTGTCTTTGATTCAAATGCTTTGATGTTAAAGTTACTGTATACAAGAATGAGATGTGTTTATCCAATAAGTATCTATTGTGCATATACTATGTGCCAGGTAACAGGACAAGAGCATGATATATACCTAAGCATATTTTATATCTGCTTGGTGTCTATGAGTGTAGGCAGAGACTGAGTTAGAGTGAAGGAAATGGTCTTTACCATTTAGGGAACATAAATTTTTCTCTTTTACTGATGAAAATCAACACAGAATAAGTTATGCAGATTCATGCCTATTTTCTCTTCCTTTTTCCAGATAATTTTTATGGCCTTGTTTATGGCACTTCCTTTTTTATAAGCTTTTTATCTTCACAGACTCTCATATTTTAATGGGTCATAAGAGTCAGCTAATCATGTCTGGGTAACAAGAAGGAATGTGTTTGTAACATAATTTTCATGAAATTGGTATATTAGAGAATTGAGGGGAAGTAAAAGGGAAAAAGTTGCTTCTTTTTCTTTGGCTTCTCAGTCTACCCTCCACTTGCGGACCAAAGATAAATGGTGAAGTTCTCTTCATTGTCTAGGCCCCTGTTTATGACTGGAGTCCTGAGATCCAGGGAGTCCTCCTCAGCTCCCTCAACTATGGCTCCTTCCTGGCTCTGCTCCCCACTGGCTATGTGGCTGGGATATTTGGAGCCAAGTATGTGGTTGGCTTTGGCTTGTTTGTTTCCTCAGTCCTGACGCTCTTCCTTCCGCTGGCGGCTGATGTTGGAGTGGCCTTGCTCATCATCTTCCGGGTCATCCAAGGCATTGCCCAGGTACCAAGTTTTCAAGTTGTTTTCAAGTACAAGAGGAATATAGATTCCAGAGTGATCTCCTGTGTCTAAGAATCAAAATCCCCCACCCCCAGGTTATGGTATTAACAGGTCAATACTCAATTTGGGTCAAATGGGCTCCCCCACTGGAAAGGAGTCAACTCACTACCATTGCTGGATCAGGTAACTGGTATCTTAATCTCACCTTTATATACCCTCTCTGTGATTACTCCAAAGAGTGCTAAGATATTGCATCCCAATTACTCAGTATTCATAGTCCTTGCTCTAAGGTACTACCCTGAAGTTCTTAATCAGAACTGAATTTTAACTATGCCTAAACATTCTTGTATTTTATAGCTGTTCATTTCCTTTCAGTCTCAGGACATTCTTACAAATCAACTACATATATATGTCTGTATGTATCTAATTATATATAATTATTTCCATTTTACATGCAGTTTGAGATACAAATAAGCTAACATTTGCCCAAGATCACACAATTACTAAGTTAAGAAGCAACACTTGCCTTAGGTAGTCTGGACTGAAGCTTATTTCTTCAGTCACTGTGTAACTGAACTTTGTAGGAAGCACATAGAATCCCAAGACTGGCCTTCTGACTGGGAACATTCTGCATATTTTGTTCAGGGTCAATGCTGGGGACCTTCATTGTCCTCCTTGTTGGTGGACTCCTCTGCCAGACCATAGGATGGCCGTATATCTTTTATATCTTTGGTAAGTTTGTGCCTTCCAAATCTCAGAATTTTTTTATGATAAAGTGTGCTTGGCATGATATCTGTGATGCAACTCATCTATGGTTAACTAACACAATAGAAATAGAAATATAAATAGAAATAAATGTTTACATAGCTAAAGTTGATGAGGGGTCAACTTTTTGTGAGCCTTCTTGTATATAAAACAGTTTTTAAGTGTTAACAGCTCAAGTGTACAAGTAGAATAATCTTGTGAATTTAATGGAATCAATGTTTTTTCCTGCTTCTAAATCAAATCTACAGGATCCCAGGGTAATTTGTAATAAGTTGTTGAAAATGTTATCTTGGGATGATGTATTTTTACTCATGGTTATTTAATTAATACATTAAACATTCTATCGCTATGATAGGCAGAGAAATGTGTGAATGTGACCTAAGCATAGATAAAATACTGTTTAGAGAAAGGACTTGACCAGTAGAGTCTGCAAAACAGGGCAGACTCTGATAAGAGTTTAGTTGTGGACATAGTTCCCAAAAAGATGCTGCAGAAAGGTCCCAAAAGCACATGGAATGGGTCAATATTTTATTTCCTCACAATTTTACTTTTGTTGACCTCTGGTTGGGATTTTCCCAGGTGATGTCTATTAATGTTTGTGTGCTTGTCTGATTTTTGAAACATTCTCTGAATTCTACCTGCAAAGTTCCTGATTCCTTAGGTTAAGTTTCACTAGGGTTTCTGTGAGAAGACATTCAACTTAGATTGAGGACTCCTATAAATTCAGATCAATATATTCATTCCTCAAAAATTTGAGATTGATTACTGTAGCATATCAGCATTCAAATGTTGTCATGAAAACATCAAAAGGGAATATGAAAAATTATACAAGCCCAGCGTGGTGGCTCACATCTGTAATCCCAGCATTCAGGAAACTGAGGCAGGAGAATCGTTGTGAGTTCAAGACCAGCTTGAACTACAAAATGAGCTTAAGGCCACCCTGAACTATATAATGAGACACTGTCTGAAAAAGACAAAAAAAATCATTCAAGAATAAGAGAGACTTTCTGTGCTCATCTCATCTTATATACCCTGTCTGTGAGTATTCCAAAGAGAGTCTTAGGTAGCATATGCAAAGAAGGAACTCAATGAATTGCTGTTGAATGAGTACTAAGATTCTCTACCATCACTGTGCACCATTGCTACTGTTCATATCTACACTTCTGCACTTCATAGAATTCCTGGGTGAGAACTCAAATTCTCAACATTTACCAACATGGCTGGTATGTAATTCTATATTCTATATTCTCAACATATAGCACTATATCTGGCATATACTGTCTATGCAAGGAAATGTGTAAATGACAAGCTAGTCAAATGCAGAGAATATTTAAGATTTTCTTAAGACTATAAAGGAAATTTTAAAATGAACCATGCTGTCGAGTTACTCAATAATGCTAATATTAGGAAATTTCTTTGCTGATGATTAATTTCATTTCATGTCCATAAATTATCTAATTAGTCAACTGTACATAAAATATACTGCTGCTAACTCTTAAGTGCTTTAGAAAGATTAGGGGTAACAGAAAAGGTTAAGAAGAAAGGAACTTTGCAGGAGCATGACCAGGAGGCATGCTGGTTGGTACTTGAATAATGAGAGTTTATTCAAACATGGGGCAAACACACTAATAACTTGTAAAAATTCCTTGTAGCTTGATATGATAGTGCATTTCAAAGTCTATCCAAACTCAGTGGTTTAGAAGAGTGATTGTATTCTCAGAGGTCTTTGGGACAGCTGGATGGCTCTGCTTTGTGTCTGTCATCTAACTTGGTTAATGGACAGCTGGAGAAGGTTTCCCCCATGACAGTGGGCAAGATCCCAGAAGACAAGTCAGGAAAAAGCAGTAGCTGGGCTCAAGGCTTCCCTATGCCATTAGTAAAAATGAGAAAAATGGCCAAGAGCAAAGTCAGGTGGAACCAAGTACCCCGACTTCTGATGGACTCTGGAAGGGAACTGATGCAGAGAGGGATTTAGTATTGTCATCACAAGTTTATGTGGGAACAGAGACAAAATGAAAGGAAAATTCCAACCCAGTGCCAGCCAGGTATTCTTTGCCTAGGTGGAATTGGCTGTGCCTGCTGCCTTCTCTGGTTTCCTCTGGTCTATAATGACCCTGGAAGTCATCCCTTCATCAGTACCAGTGAGAAGAAGTTCATTGTGCACTCACTGGCTCAGCAGGTACATTGAGGGACTTCCCTGCCATTCTGTGTGTATTCTCAGCTGTGTAGAGCTGAGAATATGGTATCAGAGTCTTTGCTTTCTGATGGGGCGTATGTTGGCATGTGCTTTCTTCCAGGATTTTTCTCCTGGATGGTCTCTTCCAATCAAAGCTATGATCCAATCTCTACCACTTTGGGCCATTATAGTCTCCTATTTCTGTGAATACTGGCTTTTCAATATCATAATGGCATATACACCCACTTACATCAGCTCTGTACTTCAAGCCAGCCCTAAAGACGTAAGTACAGAAAAAGCTCATTCAGTTATGTTTGACTGCATCATTACACAATCTTCTGTCCTTCACACGGTCACAAAACAGGGATTAGACCAAAGACCACAGGCTATAGGCTATAAGAAATATAGCCAGGTTAACTTGGATTCTGATTGACCTCAGTGTGGTTTAGTAATAACTGGTATAGTACTTAAGAGAACTATGGGAAAAATTTATGCTTGATTCCAATCAAAGTCAGCAAATAAGACAGTCTATCTGCAATACAAATTGCAGAGGATTAGGGAAATAAATTCTGTCTTGGAAAACACTGTGATGGGGAAAGCATAAACAACATAAGCTGAAATTAACACACTATTAACTGGATATAAAGTCCTAAGTGGTTAAATAAAATATTTTTAGACTTTAAAAACAATATTTTGCTCATGTATCATGTTTCTAGCTCTCTAGATTAGCTCCAAATGAGGGGGTGTGCTGATTGGCTAATGGAAGTCACTCAAGTCCTGCCTGCTGGAGGTCTTGAGAGTAGTGAAGAGTATATCGTATATCACAGCCTATTAGTGACAGTTAACAGGGTCTCGATGACCCTGTACTTAAGGGGTAGCCTTTTCACACTAAGGTGCCTCTGAGTGGCCAGGGGAGTGGTGATCTGCTTAGTAGTTATCAAGATCTGTCAAATACTCATACAAGCAGTTAGAGGGACTACAGGCTGGGGGCCAGACAGCTCAGGAACAGTGACTCTGAGTCCTCTCAAAGAGGGCTGCTGGAAGCAGACAGTACAATCAGGGTGCAGGAGAACCAGGCAAGTAGGGATGATTCAACTCTGGTGTTAGGCTGAGTGAGGAGGCCAAAGGTGAAGAGGGGGAATGGGGAGAACAAAGACAGACAAGCGTGACTGACAGCAGAGCTTCTCTGCTGAGAAGACCTGGGCTCTAGGCCACTCTGCTTTAGTCAGGGGCCTTGGTAGTCTTGACTTACTGACCTGTGGAATGAACCAGGGTGAAAGTTAAGTCTTTTCTGTTTTTTGGATTATATTCAACAAAGAATGATCTCCTTTCATTTGCTTGAGTAGAATTTTAACTTTAGGTCAGATTGATAACAAGGTTCAATATTTTAAAAATCATATAAAAATTTAAAACTGTGTAACACTGTGACATTATTAGATCATACAAAGAGTAAATAAGATCTTACTCCCATTCCTGTTCCTAATCTATTCTGTTCCCCGCTCTATAGACAGTATATGCCATATATTCAGCTATGCTTTATATACCAGGTGTGTTTATTTGCCATTTAATATATGGTGGGAATCTTTTCCTATTACTATACAAAAACTGTATGAAGCAATATTTGGTTTGTTTTCAGTCTCTGAGCAGCACTGCAGTGGAAACATGGTTCATTTGTCAAATGTTTATGCCAGTTTCAGTAGAGTCAATTTCTGTATATCAGATTGTGAAATCAAAGGGTAAACACACTCTGAACTTTTATACTTATTGTCAGTTGCTTTCCCTAGGGAACCAATGGGATGTGTGGGAATGTGATTGCCCACAGTGTCATTACTAGACTGGTAAAAAAACATTTGGAATTTTGCAAATTTGACCCTTGAAAAGTAATATCCACTGGAGTTTTATTTTGCATTTGTTATATTACGAGTGAGGTCAGGCACCTCTTAACATGCCTAGAATCAGTTTAATTTTCTATAACTTGTTCTTTACTTTATTTTTCTGTTGGTTTTGGTCTTTTTAATATCTATTTCAAGGTGATCCTTATATGAAATGAAAGTACTGTAATCCTTTTAATCATTTGTTTTTCAAGGTGGGATACATGCATATTTTGCACAGGCACTGAACTTGTATTAGCTCATTTCAGTAAGGTGGCACGGACTCTACAAGTGGGGTGTGTTCAGAGAAGGGCTGAAGGTGAGGGAAGTTGCCCAAGGGTCCATCTGCAGCCTCGTGGGTGAGGAGGGTACAAGTGCTCACCTCCACTCCCATCCTCAGAGTGGAATCCTCTCGGCCTTGCCATTTGTTGTTGGTTGCATCTGTATTGTCCTTGGAGGCCTATTGGCAGATTTTCTTCTCTCCAGAAAAATTCTCAGACTCATTACCATCAGGAAAGTCTTCACTGCCATAGGTAATGGCCCAGCTGGATGCAGGGTGGATGTGGGGGGCTCATAGAATCTCCTACTTATTCTTTTTGTCCTTCTGCCACAGGAGTTTTCTTCTCATCCATGTTTTTAGTGCCTCTGCCTTGGGTCAGATCCAGCAAAGGTGCAACCATGGCCTTCTTGGTTCTCTCTGCTGCCTCCAGCAGCTTCTGTGAATCAGGAGCCCTTATTAACTTCTTGGATATTGCTCCTCGGTAAGGACCAACCACATTGCCTCATCTGCAGAAAGCCTCAGTTCAGATGCAGCAGCCCTAAACCTGCTCTGATGCATAAGTCAAATATGACATGGGCCACAAGCCATGGGAGACAGTCCCACCAGTTTTACATACAAAGAACTCCTTGAAATTACCTGTGGTGATATAAACAAGAGCACTCTGGGGCCATGCTGGCAACTTTACTGGAGGACACATGCAAGTCCCCTGTCTTATGGGATACAGTGATTACTCAGGCTTCATTCCTGAAAAGATCATGAGACCCCACAGAGTAGGCCCATGTAAGGCTCTCATAAGTGAAAGGACACCAACCATAGGAGAACAGTTATTGTGACATAGGAAATACCACAGGTGACAAAGACTTCCAGACCCATCTTCTAGGTTTCTGGGAATCAACAGGACTTACTTGTCTCCAGGTGATGAACCATCAAGATTCCTGGGAGATGTGTTGGTTTCAAGGAGTCAACATCCATCTCAGTGAAGATGTTTGCATATATAAGGTGGAGATTTTTATATTACAAAACAAGGCTAGAAGATCAGGCTCAATAGCAAGAACCAAGAAAATATATAATCCAAACACAAATAACCAGTCTTCACATTTCCTATGAGGGGTGTTGCCAAGTTAGCATAGGTCACCTATTGGAAGTCTCAGACCTGAGCAGAGGATTTTACAAACAATTAATCAACACTTTTCATTGAGGCTTACCAAAAGTGAGAACAATTCCAGGCATCCATCCCCAGAGCTAAATACAGACTTACAGAGAACTAACTGAGATGAACCCTTTTTTTACATGGGGATTTCCCCTCTCTCCTACCTCTTTCCTTCTTTCAGGTATGCTGGGTTTCTCAAGGGACTACTGCAGGTCTTTGCACACATAGCTGGAGCTATCTCTCCCACGGTTACTGGTGTTTTCATCAGTCAGGTGAGGCCAAATGTTCCGATGAATATTCATAAGAGAAACCTATAGAGCTTATCAGAAGAAGTCCAACTAAGGGTATTTTTGTTGCCTTCTCAATGTGGCTGAACTCCTAACTTATGAATCTCAAGCACTTAACACACTCTCATCCCCAGCATAGGCTCAGCCTGTGCAGGGAAATTATCATGTGCCTGAGATGCAGAATGATGGAGAATGCTCTAGATTATCAGTTTATGAATTACAAAATCTTATAAAATGAAATTCTCATACCAACAACCAACATTTCTAGTAATATTCCTGGCATTTCTCCTGAAGTACATAGTGGTTTGCTTAAGACTAAGAGGTTTCTCAGAATATGAGCCTTTCAGTGTTAAAACCTAGAAAGTTCTTGGCAAACCAGGAGGAGTATCCACCCCACATAGGAACCCAAAAAATGTTTGCAGAATGTGTGAGCAAGATATGAATGAATGACAGAGAAGCAATCTGCACCTCCCAGGAATGTTCAGAATGGGCAGGGCAGACACCTCTCCCAATCACGATGTTCACATGGTGTTTTCACATTTGTGCAGCCTTTTTTCCCTGGAGATGCATTTAAGGTAGTCATAATAAACACATAAGCAATAAATCAGCGGCCTGAGAATCTTACGGTGCAGACTTTCTGCCACAATCACATAAATATCCTTTTCCATGCTCCTGTGGTTTTCCACCAGTAATTAGAAAAGTGAGTGAGAAGAACAATGGAAGTATGAGAGTATTCTTTTTGAAATCAAATCCCTACTTTCTTCTGAACCTTCAGTTTGCTTCTGGCCACCGACTAACACATTGGCAGGAAATGATCCTTACGATGAAAATTCTCAAGTTAACCTTCTCCTGCCACTGGTTCATTTGTGGATACATTCATTCATTTATTCAATGTGTACATTAGCATGTGCCATGCATTAAATGAATAAAACAAAAGTCCTTATGTTTGGGAAACTTACATTGTCAGAAAGAAACAGACAAAAACTAAGGAAACAGACAAACACTAAGGAACCAGGCAAAATATGATCTATTGGATGATGGTAATTTTTAAGAGGATCTGGAGGTGGCCATATTAGAGAAGGGGGATTTCAGCTTAACACAGTGGTCAAGCAAGGGTGCACAGGAAGGACAACATTTAAGCAAAGACTGGACAAATGAAGGAAGGAGCCAACCATTGTCATTTGGAGGACACTCAGGGCCCCAGGAAGCTGGCACAGAGCTGGGAAGGAGTGGCAGGCTGTAAAACCCCAGTCCTTGTGAACCATGAAGGGATGAGAATTAGATGGCCACTACTAACATGGGATTTCCTGCCTCTAGGGTTCAGATTCAGAATCTGGATGGAGAAATGTGTTCCTGGTTGCAGCTGCTATTGACATAGTAGGGGTGATCTTCTACCTCATTTTTGCCCAAGCAGAAGTGCAAGACTGGGTGAAGCACGAGCAAATCACCCACCTCTGAGCCCTGGAGTGCTGTGCGAGAACCCAGCCCTTGCTAGTTCACTACTTTTCCTCACAGCTTGTCCTTTTGGGTCTGCTTGACTGATTTGCCATTTAATTGCAATTGGTTTTATTTCTAGTATCTTCTCAGAAACCTTGACTATCTAATATAGAAGGTTTTACCAAGGTTGATTTTTTTTATAGGAGAAAAAAATGCTCATTATTTAACATATGAAAGCATGTATGTGTGAGTTTCTCAATGACTTCTATGCTTCTCACCATTATGCTGAAAAAAGCATCAAGCACTAGATGAAGTTTTCTCACCAAGTAGAAGAGAAAGCAGAAGCACAGCAGTGTGGTTGGGGGATTACCAAGGAAGTGGGGCCCAAACACCAGAATATGAACCCTAGAGCTTCTATCAAAAGAAAGGCAGAGACTGTGGAAAACATTGTCTCCAACCCAAATCCTGGGCCAAGTGTCCCTGCTCCAAGGCTAAGTTGCTCTCACCTTCCCAAGGTGTATAGGACACTCCAGTCTTGGTGTGGCCAGGGTACCTCTCTGAAAAGTGACAAGTAAAAAGGACAATAAAGAATGAACCCACTGAGACAAGAGGAATGAACTTTCCTCCAACTTACATGCAAAAGTCAATTGACTTCGCCTCTTCCAGACAACTCACTTGGGGCTAGTTTTGGACCAGTGCCTGCCTATCACTCCCCAGAGTGGACTTTTCCAGAGCAGCTTTCTCCCTGGCTACTGTCTGACCTTGGTTCCGCTTCTGCTTGGCAGATCTGTGCAGATACCTATGCACTTTAGTGAATGAATTGTCCAGTTTTTTCTCTTGTCTCCATGAACATTTCTTTAGGGGATCACACTTGTTTTTGCTTCTTTGGCTCTTAGGGTCTTTACCACCATCCAGTGGGTCTCATTTAATATTCACTTCACTAGCCTAAAATGCCTCTGGATATGTACACAGACCCAGGCTACTTGACTCATTGTAAATTTCCAGAGAGTGTACAGGATGTATCTGCTTTCATTATGTCCCACATGAGCAGCTCAAGGACCATGAAGGAAAACAAAAATATTCAAACACTAACTGAATATTAATGGATGCATGGTAGAAATCAAAATCACACATAGTTTAAAGAAGCTCAACATCTCAGGAGGGCAGACACCTTTATCCAGGTATCCTGCTACTGGCTGTAGAATGACAGCTGTGGAGAGCAGATTATTGGGTATAGCATGCTAGAAGAGCAGGTGCATTAATCAGGGTGACATAGGGCCACCAGTCTGAAGTGTTAACTGAACTGGGATCCAAAAAACAACAGTAACTGGTGCAGGAGGGGAAGAGGGTGAATTTTCTAGGTTGAAGGCATGGTAAAAGCGAAGGGTGGCAGGAAGGAGCAGTCACACATCAGAGGTCAGATAGCCAGAGAATAAGAGAAGTGGAGCTTTCAAGAAAGCAAGTGAATGATGCTGTAGAAGCATCAAGGTAGACAAAACACAGATGACAGTGGGCCCAGTGAAGGAAAGCACAAACCAGGTCATACGAGGAGTGAGCAGAAAGGAGAAAGCAGAGCACTGCTGGAAATCTGGCTGTGGAGGGAGGAAAGAGATGAGAAAGTAGCTGCAGAGGACTACCAGGTAAAGGACAGAGTTTAAACACACGTTTAAAACTGATGAGAAGGAATTAGTGAAGAGAGAAAAGTTGCGTGCAGGAAAGAACAAAGCTTGAATGAATGGGAAATTCCTGAGAAGGACACATGTAGGGTATGTTGGGACCTGAGGCCCAGTTAGGAGGAGGATAGCAGATGACATGGGGACAGCTTCCGCCTTTTCCCTGACAGTTCAATGTCATGCCCCGGTCCACCAACAAGAGATTCAGGGAATTGTTTGTTTGTATGTCTTTCTTCCTACTTGGAGCAGAGTGATCTGGCAGAGACATCCAGCAGGTTTGCGGTGGCTTGCAGGGTGATGGCATCCAGATGACATGGTAAATGCTTTCATTGCTCCTCCCCTGCTGCACTGACAGGCTTCCTCTAACCAGTTTGAATGTAAAGCCAGACAGAGTTCAGGAACAATGCCATGAAGTATTTGGCAACATCTTAAACACAACAATGGTACTATGTGCACAGTCAATGCCAATAAATGCTTGTTGAGTCATCATGTGTACCAATGAATCAAACAACTCTGGGATGGTACTAGAGATACAAGGTTATGAATGGATGTGAACAAAAGGGCCCTATTTAGATGCAAACTTCCTTTAATTAACTTGTTTTCAGAGCACAGAACCATCTAAACCTATGGACACTTTTTCTTACTTCACCCAGTGTTAAGAGACCAGGTCTGGCAATCTCAGAGCCGATTCAGGGTCTTAACACTGAGCACTCTAGTGTCCTCTAGAGAAGACTGTCTTTCCTATTTCTGAGCAATTATTTCTCTCTTTTTGTTCCCTGGACTCTTACTCCTTTCTCATTTGTCACCTTCAGCTGTTTTTGAAAACAAGTTTGATTACTGCCTGAGCCACGCAAGGAAGTTAGGATTAACATTTTTAGCATGAATGACACTGGTTTTCTCTCCAAATCAGCAGTCCTGAAAATATAGAAAGCTAAGATTTTCTACCAGTCGGCCCATCAGCAATGAGGGGGAAAGCTGAGCATTGTGCAAAAGGTCTTTCATGATGTCTTAGAATAAGATTTTATTATATGCTTGTTTATTGCACTATTTGACAATCATTTATAAACAACTGATATAAAGAGGAAAACAGAGATAAACCCAGTTTTGAAACTGAGACATGTAATATGTTGCAAACAACATACACTATAAAAGAGAAGCGCACAGCCTGCGTAGTGTGGAGATGGACCCCGGGTGTCTCTGTTTCACCTTCCTCCTGGCACTGGTGACTCTAGAGCCTGGTCTCCTGTGCAGTTCCCTCAACCTTCATTAAGGAGGAAACTGCTAGGCTCTCGAGGTGCTCAACTTTACAGTGAGTTTTGTGCAGAAAGGAAAAATATGTATCAAAATATCATTAGTGAGTCTTCATTAAAAGAGCATAGAAAATGTTTTCAACATTTCAAAGGGATGGTCTAGTCCATTTTTCTTAAGCTATCTTTCTTACCCTGTGATAGGTTATCCTAAGTGTGTTTTATATTTTTTGACATAAAAATAAATATGACTGGTGCAAGATTGTTAGCCTCTATTTTCTCTGTTCTCAAAAGTGCATGTAAAGAATCTAAACACTTCGGCATTTTGCCTGGTCCTGTCACATGGTTTGGACCCTTCCAGTGCTTAGTATTTGCTGCATCCTGAAAACAAAGAAACAACATGAAATTAAGACTATGATATGTATCTCCATGGGGTCTGGAACAGGCAATTTCATACTGCTGCTGTCCTGAGTATGAGCACATTTTATTCATGTTGATTATGGGCACATATTTGGTGCTGTTACTAAATTCATATTCTTTGTGAGCCAATTTGTTAATGAAATGAAAATAAAACCTCCCCTTGTGATGCTGCACCAGACACACCTTGCAGAGAAGTATCCCCTGTCCTTCCTAAGAATAGTGATGTGACCTGGGGTACCTGGATGGTGCCCTGTGACAAGCTGACCGGGCTGGGGCTTTACCTGTCAGCAGCAACTCAGTTTATAACATATGATGTCATATTTCTTCTCTAAAATCTGAGAAGGGGAAATGGCTAAGGCACTAAACTGTAGTGTCAGCCCAAAGGCTGCTCTGGGTGAACAACGAGGAGGCATTCACTATTTTTCTTCTATAGTGAACATTTTTATTCTTTCTTTCTTAGCTGAAATTTTACATGTCGTAGACTGTTTTGAATTTTTCCATGGAAACAGCTATTAACTACCTAATATCTGCCTATAAGCATCCAGGTATGTTTCTACATGTTAGTTGGGCACAGTATTCCTTTAATTTAGATCATCAAGATGAATTCTATACAGGGAGAATAAATGTTACCCATGTGTTGCCCCACTGTTGAGAGAAAATTAGACATCTCTCATCCAAACCTTCCTAGTTAAGGTGCACATAATTCATCAGAAGAATAAAAGGTGTCTCTTATGTGCTCTCCTTTCTGGGGCACCCTATATTTAACAAAATCCATTATAGAAATGTACGATGAATTATTCTTTAACAGCCCATATGGTAATTTTATACTGAAAACTTTGGTATAGAGGCAAGATACAACAGAAAAATTCTAAAGGGATGTAGAAGGGTATCTTACATTGTCCTGACGTGATGAAGAACCAGTCATAGAGCTCTCAAACAGAGCAGAGTACATAAGAGTGATACTCAGGGGAGTGGAGATGCAGAAAGGCTTTGAAAAAATTTTAAATGGACATTTTTGCCTCAAAACCAAGAAAGATAAAGATGTCTACTCTTGCTACTTCCATTCGACATTATACTACTGGTTCTAAGCAGGGCAATTAAATAAGAAAAAAAATGACATCCACCTTGGAAACATAAGTAAAATTATCTGGATTCATGGAGAGCAAAATCTTTTGTATATAAGTCCTAAGGACTATTTTAAAGTTATTAGAACTAATAGGGAAGTTCAACAAAGCTGCAGAGTGCAAGATCAATATAAAGAATCAATTGTATTCATAAACACTTGCAGTGAGTAATCTGAATAATGGAATAAGAAAAATTCTAAATACTTATATAAAAACTAAATGCTTACAAATAAATTCAGAGAAAGAAGTACAAAACACATACTCTGAAACTACAAATACTGTTGAAAAAAATTAAAAAATATGTCTTAGTCTGCTGAGACTGCTATAACAAAGTGTCATTACCTTATACTATTCATAAAAAAATCAAAATGAAATACTGAAATATAAGAGCTAAAACTTAGAAGAAAGCTTCGGAGTAAATTTTTATGACTTTGGGTTGGGAAAATGTTTTTTTTATTCACTTATTTGTTTTATAAGCTCTTAGCAAGTTAATTATCATAAGCAGAGATTAACAGCCAGACTTAACAAGTTAAAAAAAAAAAACCTAAAACACAAAAGACAATTATACTAAAAGGTACACATTTAGATACATTGGTCATGCTGAATTATGATAACTTTTTTTCAGTCTCTGGTCATGGATTCTTAGGTACATCAAAGGCACATGAAATAAAATAAAACATAAATAAATTGGATTTCATAAAAATTAAAAACTGGTGTGCATTAAAGACAATAAGACAATCAACTACTTGTAAGATAACTATATGTAATATATTAACTGGAGATTATTTCTTAATTTTTTTGAAATCCTATATAATTTATACACTTTTTTTTTGCTTTTTTTAATTAAAAAAAGGAAATAAGACAACTACAAAACAAAAACTTTTTTTTTTTGATACCAGGGATCAAACTCAAGCCTAGCACTTACCAGGCAAGTGCTTGAACCACTGAGCTAAATTCCTGGCTCCCTGAAGAAACTATTTACAAATCATATATCTGTTAAGGAACTAGGGTTACAATATGTAAAGAAAGCTGAACTCAAAAACAAAAACACAATCTAAATAAAAATGTGCAAAAACTCTAAATAGACATACTAAGAGTGTCACTTTCTGAATAGCCATTTGATTTTGCATGTGTAGGGCCTTGACCACTTATTTCCAATCACCTTTCTCTATGCTTTCCCAAAATCCAAACCCTGTCCTTGTTGGGGAGAGGGATTTGAGACTTGGTCACCCTGTCCATATTTGGCTACCTTGAACATAACCTCTTTCTTTTTTGTAAAACCTACTGATTCAGTGATTGGCTCACTGGTAGGCAAAACTAGCCTGGCTTAGTTTGATATAATAAAATTCTATAAATGAGCTAAAGACACTGAAAGCAAACCATGAATTCTAGACTAGATTCTAGACTAGAAGGAAGTATCTATATGCCCATACTTTATCTTCCTTCCAGCTTGGTGTGAGCTCACATCTCCTGGATAGTTTGGTTGAAAAATCCATTTTAAAAAGCCAACAGGACATTAAACTATTGTCGTAATCCTGGATTTCTTCTCTGTCCCTGGGCCGGAGGGCTGAGATATGTCAGAGGAGGAAGCCACAGGTTCGGGAACTGACTGAGCTGATCTCATAGGTACAACATTAAAGGACCCTTCTTTACTATGGCGGTGTCCATGTGGTTTCATTGGAGCATCAGAGCTGTGCAGTCTGTTTCTCTTTACATCCCAACCACTTAACTACATCTATGGATGACAGGATCCATTAATATCGGTACAATATCACATATAAAGAAACTAATTTAAGATTATGAGATTGTTGTTTCATTTTCATAACTTATAATAAAGTTAAATTTTGAATCCTCATTATTTTAGCCACCAAACAGCCTTACCCCAGCCCAAGAGACAACAACAGGAACCATAGCGTTTCAGTGCAGAGTTATCTCATCCTCCCACACAGCAATGGTGACATAGATACCCACTCAGCGGGAAGTCGCCTGCTGGAATATGAATGACACTGTGCTGTTTCTGTCTTGGGATCTCAGAGTGCAGCAACTGCCCAGGCCAGTGTTCAGCGCACGGACTTCTGTATCACTTGGCATCTCACAAGAACTTCACACCAGACAGATTTTGCTCCTTTCCAGCATGGTTTTAGCCTTAGGCTTCCTGAGGGGCCCCTCCTCTGGTTTTCTTTCTATGTTTCTGTCCACTGTCTTGTTTCCTTTTGTTTGTACCTTCTCTATCAGGTCTCTAAATGTTGGCCTGTCCCAGGGCTCTATAGCTGGGCCTCCTTTTCATGTGCAGACTTTTTCCTCAGGGTATCCCAACTACATGCTGGCCATCCCCAGATGCTTACCTCAGCTGTGTTCTAGTCGCGCATGCCTACCTGCCCCCTGGGTACTATTATAAGGCTTCCAGTTAGCATCTTTAACTCAGCATGTATGAAACCCCACCCCAGGCATTCACCTGAAAAACCTCCCAGTCTCAGCAATGAACGTCCTCTCTTTATTTTTTATTTTTGAAAAGCCAGTATCATGATTTTCTCTGCTTTGCCTGCCCAGCTCTACCACCATCTGGAATCTGGCCGCACCTTTCCGTCTCCTATCATCAACATTTCTTACTTGAACTTGCAAAACAGCCTTTAAATTGGTCTTTCTGCTTCTACCCTGCCCTTCTACTATGGCCATGGAGTCTTTTCTCTAAATGTGGCCAGAATATGTTTATGGAACATTAATCAGGCAAGTCACTCTCTTCTTCAAAAGCATCATGAAAAGCTTTGATCATAAACAATTGAATTAAATCAAGCTCTTACTTTAACCTGCCAGCCCTACATGATCTGGAACGTAATCACCTCCAAATCCCTTCCTTCCTTCCTTCCTTCCTACCTGCCTGCCTCCCTTCCCACCTTCCTTCCTTCCTTCCTTTCCATTTATTTCTTCTTTCTTCTTCTATCAGCTACACTTCCTCTATTTGTCCTTCTAGGTGTAACCAAACTTGCTCCAGCCTCAAATTCCTTGTCTTGATTATTTTTGAAGCTTCAAATACTCCCCTGGATTTTCATATTGTCCTCATCACTGACACTGTCAACACAAAAATCCTCTTCTGACTTCAACAAAGCAGCTGAACATTCTCTATCTTGTCATTTCTGTTCTTCATATAAACCGGTACCTAGAATTATCTCAACTTGTAAAATATTCACCACCCCCACCAAACTATAAAGTTCTCTTAGGAAGAAGACCTGATGGTGCTGCTCACTGCTTTGTTTTAACACCTAAAAAAATATACTTCCTACTTGCTTGACTATTGGAAAGGAGGAGTTTTTAATTTGAACTGTGTGAATTTATATAAAAAAGAAAAACTATATCTACATTCCCCTAATTCTAACTGAAATGTAACAATTCCTTCCATCAGGAAGGTAGCCAAGAAGTGAGAGATGATGGGTTTTATATCAATAGAAGCAAATCATTAGTTTTTCTTTTTTTTTATTTAAAGAGAAAAAAGAAAAAAAAAACCAAAACAGTAAAAGGGTACAAGTAATACAGAATTTCAAGAAAAAAATATACAGTAAGAAATCACTAGTTAATAGATTACATATTGTCATCTTAGAAACAGTTGTCCAAATTACAAAATTAAAGCATACAAAGTAGACATTCATACAGTGAGATTGCAGACAGTTCCATTCAATGATCCAACAAAAATTCAGTAACATGGTTTTCTATCCTACACA